TTTAAATATCTAGAAATCCTCTTCTGTCTTGTCATATTCAAAATTGAAGTGGTAGGTTGGTGTGCTGGTGTGAATTTGTAATCCCGGCACTTGAGAGGCTGAGCCAGGAGGAGGTCCAATTCCAGAGGAGCCTGAGGTAGAAAGAATTGACCAAGTCTTCCATGTGCACAGCTGGGACTTACCGCAGTGAATTTCAACATGATCTGGCCTGGCTAGGGACTGTTAGAACCGTGGTCTCAGTCAGATTGTTTCCCTGAGTAATCCAGGTCCCCAAGGAACTGCTGCAGTCTTGACCTGGAAACTTTACACTTGGCTCTCAGTTGCAGACATCACAATCCCGAAACACAGATATCTACTTAACTTGTTTTTGGTGCCACGCTCTCGCCCTCAACAGGACCCAGGTGTCCATTAAGGAAAAGAAAAAAAAATAAAAAACAAAACAAAACAAAAACCTGCTTTCCGGGCTGGAGAGATGGCTCAGAGGTTAAGAGCACTGGCTGCTCTCCCAGGGGTCCTGAGTTCAGTTCCCAGCAACCACTTGGTGACTCACAACCATCTAGATCTGGTGCCCTCTTCTGGCGTACAGGTGTACATGCAGGCAGAACATTGTATGCAAAATAAACAAACAAACAAACAAACAAATAAATAAAGACCCGCTTTCCATCTCCGACAAAGAACTCTGAGCTCAGGCACCATGGGCCTGAGCCTCCAGCACTTGGGAGGCAGAAACAGGACAGAAGCAACCTGGAGGCCAGCCAGATACACAGCAAGATCCTAATCTTTTAATTTGTTCATTTATCGTATGTGTAAGTGTGTGTGCCTGGGTGTAGGTGTGTCCACAGAGAGCAGAAGAGGGGAGTCAGATCCCCTGGAACTGGAGCCACAGACAGTTGTGCGCTGCTGCCTGGGAATTGAACCTGGGTCCTCTGGAACAGTGCTCTTAACTGCTGAGCCATCTCTCCAGTCCACAAAGGTCCTAAATATTAAAAACAAACAAACAAAAAACACATCCGTATTCTCCTGGGGTAGGGGTAGTCGCCAAGATGTATGAGGTCAAGAGATCTGATAGCCTGACTGCTTCAGCCCTCCAAATTTTAGTACCAACTTCATCCAAAGTCCTATCGGTGTCGCTAACTTCAGAGCAATCTGCTCCCTAAGCTCACTGTTGGTTTAGTTACCACCACTGCTAAAAACAAACAAAAAAACAACGGCACCCCGTTGCCACTCAGCCTCTGCTCTCCACATACTCCCTAACGCCGCCATCTCTCTCTCTTTCTCATTTCTCTTCAGTGCCGAGGATAAAATCCAGAGCTCCAAACAAAGTTTCTAAGCTTCAGTGCCAGCCTCAGGGTCTGGAAAACCAAAATCTAGACTACCCCTGAATGTGCTATGTGGCCCCTAGCGTTAGGTTCAGGAATACAGGAAGAGGTTACCCTTTTCCTCCCCCTTTTTTTTTGGCTTTTTGAGACAGGGTTTCTCTGTGTAGCCTTGGCTGTCCTGGACTGGCTTTTTTGTAGATCAGGCCTGCCTCTGCCTGAGTACTGGGGTTACAGCCATGAGCCTCCCCACCCGGCTGGTCACCATTTCTTAGTTTTTTTTTTAGAGACAGGATCTTGTCTGTCTCTACCCCCGAAACACCGGGGTCACAGATGAGCACTACTGACCCTGACCCTGGCTTCCCTGGGGGTTCTGGAGATCCAAACCCAGGTCCTCACAGGCTCGCACAGCAAGCGCTTTAGTGACTGAGCCAGCTCCTCAGTCTTATTTCAGCTCAGGCTGGCTTTGAGCTTGTGGTGAAACAAGCCAAGGATGATGCTCTTGACTCTGCCTCCTGAGAGCAGGGGTCATGGCGCGCGCGCGCACACACACACACACACACACACACACACACACACACACACACGCACCCACGCACACAGTCTTTGGAAGGCTAGAAGTCAAACCCAGGGCTTCATGCACGCTACGCAAACGTTCTACGGACTGAGCTACATCACAGTCCTCACGATATCTTTCTTGTTGCGTCAGGGAGATGACTCAGTGGGTGAAGGCAGCCAAGCCTGACAGCGTGAGCTCAACTTCCGGAGCCTGGATGGGAGAGAGAACCCACTCTGCCCATTGCCTAACCATCAACGAGCACCAGCTGCTTCACCTGTCTTGAACGCCTGCCCCCACCCTCTCTCTCTTTCTTTCTCTCTCTCACACACACAATAAATAAAAACATAATTTTCAAATCCTTGTTATTTTCTCGGGTCTAGGAAAGGACACGTCAGAATGCTGGCTCCATCAGATATGACCGAGTTGTCATGAACCTTCCCCTATGCAAGCTGCTTCTGTTACTGTTACTCTTCTGTCTTTCAGGCCGTTCATGTCGTTGTTTTCAAGACCTCCTACGCCGGGTCAAGCCCACTACCAAGGAGCCATGTACCTCCAGCCCTACTTACCTCTAGCCCGATCTGTCCGGGAACTGCATATGTAGGCCAGGCTGGCCTCAGACTCACAGACACCTGCCTCTGCCTCCAGAGCGCGGGGGGCTCACAGGCGGGCGCCGACACCAGCAACGCTTCACTCTTGATCTCTTTAAGTCTTTTTTTTTTTTTTTTTTTTTGTTGAGAGGCAGGTTTTCTCTGTGTAGTCTTGGCTTCCTAGACTCCATTTGTAAACCAGGCTGGCCTCGAATTCACAGAGATCTGCCTACCTCTGCCTCCCAAGTGCTGAGATCTCGGCCACCCCACCCAGCTGATCTCTGTAAATCTTAATAGCACTCTAAAAAAAAGGTAATTCTGGCCATGACACACTTTCTTCAAAGGCTCCAAAATGCCTTCAGAGTTTCTTTCATTCAAAAAAAAAATTTTTTTTTTTTTATTCTTAGAGCCAGGCGGTGGCGGCACAGGCCTTTGATCCCAGCACTCCGGAGGCAGAGGCAGGTGGAGCTCTGAGTTCAAGGTCAGATGGTCGGCAGAATGAGTTGCAGGACAGCCAGGGTTACACAGAGAAACCCTGTCTCAAAAACCAAATAAATGAATGAATAAATAGGGCTGCAGAGATGACTCAGCTGGTAAGAACACTTCTTCCAGAGGTCCTGAGTTCAACTCCCAGCAATCTCACAGCCTATATATCTATAGTGAGATCTGGTGCCCTCTGCTGGCGTGCAGGTGTGCATGCAGGTAGAGCACTCACATAAAATATCTCCTGAATAAAGAATTGAGAACACTGCACAATGGATTTTGATCATATTCACACCCATCTCTCGCCGCTCCACCCCTCCCCCTTTTTACTGGTCTGTGTGTGCGTGAGTGTGCGTGCGCAGAGATCTAAGTGTGTGCCACACGTGTGTGGGGACCTGCATGTGAGCCAGAGGAGGACATCCGACTTCCTGGAGCTGGAGATATACCCAATCGTGAGCCGTCTGTGGGCGCTGGAGCTGAATTTGGGTCTTCTGGAAGAGAAGCCAGTTCTTTTAACAGCCTAGGCCATTTTTTTCTAGCATCCCAGAGTGAATTCCAAATTACTCAGCTAGTGAGTTCAGCTGATGTCCCTATTCCAGCACCGTGTCAGCGCTGACCACCACCCGCTCCACATACATGGACCCCAAGCAGGCGCCTCCACAGCCCTATCTCCTGGAGGACTCCCTTCCCCACCGCAACTTCCCTTCCACCTCAACGGCCCTTCAGAATTCAGTCCAGAAACCACGTTCTTCAAGGACACTTTCCCCGGGGTTGAAGAGAAAGCTCAGTGGTTAAGAGCACTGGCTGCTCTTTCAGAGGACCCGGGTTCGATTCCCAGCACCACATGATGGCTCAAAATTGTCTGTAACTCTATTTTTATCTAGGAAATCCACTGCCCTCCTTAACCTCCACGGGGGTGTGCACAGACACCCATTCAGGCAAAACTCACCAAATAAAACAAGTCCTGGCTAGGTGCTACTGCACAACTTTAACTTTGTGAGTTCAAGGCCAGCCTGGTCTACAGATTGAGTTCCAGGACAGCCAGGGCTACCCAGAGAAACCCTGTCTCACAAAACCAAAAATATAAATAGATAAATCTTAATAAAAGTGTGCTAACACAGCACTACCGAGTGAGAGAACACCTCATTTATCTTTATCCGTAGAGCCTAGCGCCTAATTGATAATCAGAGAAAGGCAGAGGGAAGGAGCCAGAACGGGGGACCGGCTGGACTCAGGATCTGGAAGCAGCTTAGGGACCATCGGTTAACACACCAGGTCAAGCTTTCCGTGGGGGAGGCTGGCCAGCAAAGAGCCCGCGACCACCCAGTATGGAGGCGCACACTTGAACTGCCGCCACCGGGCAGTGTCACTCGGACTAGACAGGTCTGAACGGCTTTGGGCCACGGGGTGTTCCAGCGCTGGCTCATCCCTTTAGTCCCAGCGTTAGGAGGCAGAGGCAGTCTTACTCAACTTGTGCCAGGTCACGCCTGGCCACCCTTTCTCAATACGCCAATTAAACCAGTCTAATTAAAAGTGGGAAGTCAAGGAGACCTACTCACTGCTGCCACGCTGGGAAGAGGGGCAGAGAGATCCAGGAAAACCCCAAGTCAGTCTTCAGTTCCGTTTACACACAGGGCCAAGGACGTGCCCGGCTGGGACGCTCACGCCCACCACTGACTCCCGTAAAGTGGTCTGATCAGTTAGAGCCGTGTGAAACCTCTTTCTGGAAGACAAGGTCCCGGTCTGCCTGGCACCCTTCTCCCAGCATGAGATTCCTAGGGGAAAGTCCCATTTCTTTGGGGTCCACTGTTTGAACTGTGGTCTCTTTAGGGTATCTTCGTTTCGGACAGACCTGTGAGTTCCGGGCAAGCCGGCTCTACAGCGAGACCCTAGCGGAAAACAACACCAAAAGTCAATACGGCCTCTCCCCACAGCCCCAACCTGGCCTGGCAGGAGAGCCCAGGAAGCCACACCAGACCAGGTAGACCCGGAAGAGCGAGGCCGCGCTGAGCATCCTGGGAATTGTAGTGTTCGCTACCGAGGCCTCTGCGCAGGCGCACACGAACAGGCACTTCCGGACACAGCGCCGACGGCCTGCGGGGCTTTGCGCGACGGCGATGGCTACCTACAGCCTGGCGAACGAGCGGCTGCGCGCCCTGGAGGACATCGAGCGCGAAATCGGCGCCATCCTCCAGAATGCAGGTTCGGGAGGCGAGGAGCGGACTCCTCGCGCGCTTGGGGCGGGACCCGAGAGCCTGTCTCCGGGCGGGCTCGGTCTCCAGCCTCGGTCTAACACCGCCCTCGCCCCGCCCTGGCAGGAACGGCGATCCTGGAGCTGTCCAAGGAAAAAACCAACGAGCGCCTGCTGGACCGGCAGGCGGCAGCCTTCACCGCCTCTGTGCAGCACGTGGAGGCGGAGCTGTCGGCTCAGATCCGCTACCTCACCCAGGTGCGTGTGCTAAGGAGGGGCGGGGCGGGCACCCCAGCTCCCCACCGCCGCCGCCCCAGCCTTGGGGGTCCCCTGAGCTTTAGCTGGGTGAGAATGCTTCTTACGCCGTAGGCACTTCCATCTCAGGGCTGGTTTAGCCCTTTAAAAGCAAAGGATTAAACTGTCTAGGGGGGGGAAAAAATACCTAGCCAGACCAGGTGGCACAGGCCTGTAATTCAGCCACTCAAAAGGCTGAGGCCGGAGGATCACAAGTTCAAAACCTGTCTGTGCAGTTTAGACTCAGGCGGTTTAAAAAAGAAGAAGAAGAAGAGGGCCGTGGCTCCATGGTAGAGCACCTGCCTGCCATAAGGAGTTCCCAGAACTGAAGCGACTGAACCTTGGAACCGCTCAGTGCAGCCCCCCTCGGTCCCCAAGCATATGGGCCTCACACAGGACATCAGGCCCAGTTTCAGGGAACACAGTCCTTCCTGTAGCTACCACCAGGACGCACCCGCCGCCATCCCCGGGTCACAGATGAAGCTCACAGGGAGTCAGCCTTTTCCCTTAGACCGCTGAGTCAGCAGACAGCTGACCAAACTCAGGGAAGAAAGGCGAGCAGAGACCTGGTTGGGGGGTGGCCGGGAGAGGCGGTGCTCTGTTGATTGGTCTAAATGTGCTGTAGGTGGCCACAGGGCAGCCCCATGAGGGCTCCAGCTACTCCTCCAGGAAGGACTGTCAAATGGCTCTGAAGCGAGTAGATTACGCCCGCCTCAAGATCAGTGATGTGGCGCGAACCTGTGAGCAGATGCTGGAGAACTGAGTCGGGATGTCGTGTGATCTGTACCGTGGACAGAACCCGGACATGGGTAGAATGGGGAGCGGAGTCACAGGAGCGGGCCTGCTGCTCAGGGCACACGAGACCCCGGGCGGACAGTGGAGCTGGAGACCCTAAAGCTCAGGCCCCCGCACAGACCTCTCCAGCTCCTGTGGCCCCAGTGCTGGGGAGGCCGAGGGGGACGATGGCTGCCATGAGACCAACCTGGGCCAGGCCAGACTGTCCTTCAAAAAGAGAAGCTATGTTCTTCCCTGGAAGAAACAAAACAGGAACTAAGTGTTTTAATAATAAAGGCCGTGGCTGTTTTTATGACGCTCATACTCTCCAATCCAAGTGATCCAGAGGCTAAAGTGAGGCCCCTGTGTCTGTCTTCAGCACAGGGGCTGGGGAGGAGGCGGAGTGGGGAGGCCTAGGGGTTCAGGCAGGATTGGAAGACAGCTGACGGAGTGCAGAGAAAGACCGAGCGTCTGCCGAAGTCTGTAATTCCAAAGCAGCGGTTTTGTCCTGGTTATTTCAGGTGTGTGAATAAGGTGTGCTGTGGTGTGTGTATATGTGTGTGCGTGCACCACACGCTTGCCTGGTGCCTGTGGGGTCAGAAGAGGGTTGTCAGATCCCCAGATGCTGCTGTAGGGGTCCTCTGCAAGAACACACGCTCAGCTGCTGTGTTTTCCCTCCAGCCCTCAGCCAGTAATTCTAAAGTTTAAAACATAGTTTAAAACATAGGACTTGTCCAGTTTATTGGTACAGCGTAAAAAGCAGACACTTTTTTAAACGCATGTACTGGTAGAGGGAGCCTAGAACATGCTAGGCAGGCATGGGAGACATTGGACTGCATTCCTAGACCACGTGATTTAGAGTACTGTGCTCAGGAGAGGCCTAAGGGCAGAGCAGCTACTCAAAGATTTGTTCTTTTTTCATTTATTTTTGGTTTTTGTGCATTGGTGTTCTGCCTGCATATGTGTCTATGTGAGGCTGTCGGATCCACTGGAACTGGAGTTACAGGAAGCCTGTGGCTGCTGGGAATTGAATCTGGATCCTCTGGAAGAACAGCCAGTTCTTAACCGCTGAGCCATCTTTCCAGCTGATCTTTCTGAGTGCAAGGCTGGTTTACAGCAGGTTCTAGGACTGCCAGGGCTGAATAAGGAAACCCTGTCTCAAAAAAAAAAAAAAAAAAAAAAAAAAAAAAAAATTAGCAAGTGTGTAAGCCCAGTACTGTGAAAGTGGAGGCAGGAGAGTCAGCAGTCAGATAGATAGGGAATTTGAGGCAGGTGTGTACTAAATAAGATCCTGGCTAAATGAAACAGAAACCTGAAAACATACACATTATTTACAAAAGTACTCTGGGGCAGATGTGTGTACTTTAATCCCAGAATTTAGGAGGTAGAGGCAGAAAATGAATAATTCAAAGCTGTCCTTGATAGAAGGTGCTTTGCCTCAAAACAGTAAGAAAGGTGGAGCCCAGCCTGCCTGCCTCCCACCTCTCCCAAGTCTTCTCTCACAGGCTTCCATTTCTGCTTCAGGCACGGGGGGCTTGGTTTACAGGTTCATAGTGGAGCTGCCCGTCTGGAAAGGACAGAAATGGCAAGTGAACTCCGACGTGAAGGAGAGTGGAGGCAGAACCTGACCTGAACTGGGGAGTCACGTTCCTAGACATAAATTAACCCTGAGACCCAGAGTATTCTGGCTGACTCTTCCCTTGTAGCCCATAGTGCTGACAGCCTTGCTTTATATGTGTGTGTGTGTGTGTGTGTGTGTGTGTGTGTGTGTGTGTGTGTGTGTATTTCTATTTTATGTGCATTGGTGTTCTGCCTGCACACACATCTGTATAAGGGTGTCAGAATTTGGAGTTACAGACAGTTGTGAGTGCTGGGAATTGAACCTGGGTCCTCTGGAAGAGCAGCCAGCGCTCCCAACCATTGAGCCATCTCTCCAGCCCCAGCCTTGCTTTTTGTTGTTGTTGTTGTTGTTGTTATTATTTTGAGACAGGATTTCTCTGTGTGGCCCTGTCTGTCCTATACTCGCATTGTAGATCAGGCTGGCCTCAGACTCACAGAGATCCTCCTGCCTCTGCCTCCCAAGTGCTGGGATCACAGGAGTGCACCACCACCCTGCCAGCTTTGCTATTTGTAGGCCTCTGTTAGGCTTCTAGCCACCAGGAAGGTTCCGGGTCTGTGGAGGTGAGGCTGGGGAGTCCCGCTTACCTGCAGGCCTCTGCCGTGTCACTCTCCTCTTGCACAGCACATAGAGCAAGGCTGCTGTGAGGAGGAAGACGATGGCCAGGAGGGACAGCACGGGGACCAAGGTTGCTGTGCCAGTGACAGATCTGGGTTTTTCTTGCTGTTTGTCCTGCTGTTTCTCCTTTGCCTTAGCCTCGGATGCGGCTTCCAGACCATAAGCTGACGTGACAGTGGTGGTCTCAGGGTGGTGGGTGGTGGATGAGCTGTTCAAGGACGGTGCCCCAGAGGGAAGGGGGGCCTGCTGAGTCTGTGCAGGGGTGCTCGTGTCTGGAGATAGCCCCTCTGTGGCCTCGGGGATCCGGGTGCTGGCGTGAGGCGAGTGCTCCCGGTGGTGGGAGCTCTTTCCTCCACCATTTCCACACTCTGGAGAGAACACAAAGGAGCAGCTGCAGAAGCATCTCCCCCTCCTGTCTTCAGGGTGTGGTTATCACCCTTCCCGCTCCCAAGAATAAAGGCAGAGAACAAATGAATCAGTCACAGCTTGTGGGGCGCAGGAGTTCGGAAGAAAGTGCAGGGAGAATTACAGTTGCTTAAGACGGACGACTGGACAGAAGGTTATGATAGTTGTAATGAACACGGAGGGCTGGATGCAGCCCCCCAGCTCCACCCCAGGGTAACGCCAGGACAGGACTAGCAAAGCTTTGCCAAATATTTATTTTGCCTCCAGGTCCTGGCCAGGATTACAATAGCATGAAAGTATTTCTTGTGCCCCAGTTTCAGGTGATGTAAGTGACAGAATTCCTATGGCTGTCGCAGAGAAAGGTGGAGGAAAGTCAGCACTTTGCTCCCTTGGGTCTCTAACCTGCTGAAATCCCTTATTTGGGCATGGTGTCCTGACCCCAGCAGAGGGAAGGGCACTAGGAGCAAACAGACTCGGTGGAAAGCCTGTGTGTACAGCTCAGCGGCAGAGTTGCCTAATGTGTGAGGTGAGGCCCTGGGTCTGTTTTCCAGTATTGTGTAAAAAGACTTGGGGCAGGGTAGCTGAAGGCGGGGGGGGGGGGGGGTGGATGGCAGAGGGACAGACAGGGCAAGGAGGTTCACAGACCACGAGATGCTACACTGTGGGTGGACTTGACGCCTTGTCTACGGCCTTCCGGCACTCACTTGGTAGAGAACAAGGCCGGGGGAGGGGCTGAAGGGAGCAGTGTAGGTCTGAAAGGCCATGTGGGTACCGCTGGTCCCAGGGAGACTGTTGAAAGCCATTTTGGGTTTCTGGGTTTTTTGTGCAGCACTGGTCTAGCTCTGAAGACCAGAGCTCTGCCTCCTGCACGCTAGGCCTCCTGCACCCTAGGCCTTGCTAGGCCCAAAGGCGTGTGTCACCACGCCTTGCCTGGACCCTTCTTTCAGAAGAAAAATACAATCTGCACATGAAAGAAGACATCACAGCCGAAGGCGAGCTGTCAACTAATTTGTTTGGAAACTGGTTTTTGCACACTTAAGATTTATTCATTTCATTGACTGGGTTGGGTTTTGTTTTAACTTTGAAAGTTAAAGAGAAAATACAATACTGAACCAGGTGGAGGTGGCCCAAGCCTTTAATCTCAGCAAAGGAATTTGGATCTCTGAATTTGAGGCCAGCCTGGTCTACAGAGTAAGTTCCAGACAGCCAAGGCTACACAGAGAAACCCTGTCTCTGGAAATAAAATAACAAAACAAAACCCAGAAAAAAAACAAAACCACAACAAAAACAACTGTAAATCAGATATTGCAGACTCTAGATGATATGCATAGAGGCTGATCATTGTAGAATTCTTTAAACTTTTGTTTCGTTTTTGAGACAGGCTGTCCTGAAACTCTATGTAGACCAGGCTGGCCTCAAATTCACAGAGATCCACCTGCCTCTGCCTCCCAGACTGTTGAGGTTAAAGGTGTGTAGATGAATCTTCCAACTTTAACATGTTTATTTTCATCATTAAGTATTAGAAAATGAAAACAGTACCTTCAAGTGATTTCAGTTCAAATCCAACAGTGAGAGCCGAGCCTGCTATAGAGTCCTGTAAGCCCCGATACTAGAGAGGTTGAGGCAGGAGGATAGCAAGTCCAAGACCGTGCCCGGTAGACTTGGCCACACCCTGAGTAAAAATGATTAAAAAGCGGGGTGTGGGGTAGGTCAGCGGCAGAGACTTATTTAGCACGACAGACCTCGAGTGTGGTTTATATAATACTCACTCCAAGAAAGTATTAAGCAGTAGCAAATGTGGTAGATTGGCCAGACCAGGAAGATGATGGCAAAGCACAGCGGGAAGACACAGGCTTCAGTGAAAGCACTTCAGCCGGGGTTAAACGGGTCTAGGTAGGGAGGGTCTAGGTAGGGAGCGCTGTGTGGCGGAGGCAGAGATGGCCAGGCGGCCGCCTGCACCCTGCTGGCCACCGGCGGACAGGAGCGGTTCTCACCGTGGCGCTCCAGGCAGCTCACCAGGTCACGGACCCACGGGTCTCGGCTTCCCCCGCACACTCGAGTCCCGGACTGCAACTGAAACCTGCAAGAGGATCAGTCTCGCCTCCGCGACCACTCCTGCGCCTCCCCACCTTTCCTCATTCCACAGGTGTGACGTCACGCAAGGTGAGCCCCACGAGGGCTGGAATTCCCCAGCCAGGTGAGACCGGAAGCGAGCTGGGCGACCTGGGCGTCCAGGCGAGGGGTCCCCCGGGAGGGAAGGACATGGACACAGTACCTGATGAAGAACGGGCAGCGCGTGAGCGACTCCAGCTTCCTTCGGATTTGCGCCAGGGCGGCTGGCCGCATCTGTCTCCCGGAGGGAAAAGTCACATCACAGAGACAGCTTCCAGCGACGCTGCCTCGGTTGCCGTCACCTAGAGGGGAAAGGTTCAGCCGGGGCCCAGCCCGGTCAGCGCTGGGCCTCCCGCCCCAGCGATGCCGCCGAGCCCGGGGTCCCCAGCGCGGCCCGCTGACCTGGCAGGGCCTGCTGCGCCAGCAGGAGCAGCAGCAGCAGCCGCGGCCGGGGTCCCGCGCCCCGCCTCATGCCGGAGCTGGGCCGGCGCTCTCGGCGCTGCACCGCCTCCCGTGCCAGGCGGAGGGGCGCGCGGGGGCGGCGCCGTCCTGCCGCGCGCCGTCCCGAACCGTCTGGTCAGTAGCGGGGCGCCCGCGCCGCGCCCAGCGCCCACGTCGGGGCTTCCCCTCCCCCGAGGCGGAGCTCCTTCTCCCGAGCAGCCAGGACCCGCTCCGAAACCGAAAGAGAGCTCGGCCGCGGAGCGGGGGCCGCGCGGGCGAGCGGCGCCCGGGGATGCTCGGCCGCCCCGGTCGGTGGCGCGGCGACGCCCCGCCCGCCCCGGCGTGCTTGCGCTGCCCCGGCCCGCCGCCGTGCAGAGGGGGCCGGAGGCATGGCCGAGGGTGAGCGGTCAGGCCGAGCTCCGGGCCGTGGGGGCGCGCGCGCTCGGGCGGCCCCGACGTCACCGCGGGCCTCCGGCGCGAGGTATTTACCTTCGAAAAGTGGTGGCGGCTGCAGGTACCGGAGGGAGGAGCGGCCAGAGGGGCGGGTGTGCTGGGCGCCCACCCGAGCTGCCTCGCTTGTACTTCTCACAGACCAACAAACGGGCCCAGGTTTCCTCCTCAGCAAGCCTTTCCCCTAGGCTTAGCCTGACCGCGGCTTCCCTCGATTCCAAGCTCACGCCAGGCTTTGAGTCACTGAGTTTGTGCCCCAGGTACGACTTCATCCCTGAGTATTTTAACCCTAAATATCCGGCCGGGCGTGGTGGTGCACGCCTGTAATCCCAGCACTCTGGGAGGCAGAGGCAGGCGGCTCTCTGAGTTCGTGGCCGGCCCAAGCCCTCACCACTACCCTGGTCCTCAACGCCATCGCCTTTCTGCTCAGTCTGGGTCTAGGCCCCGTGTATCTGAAGACATGGAGTTTGTGTCCGGATACAGAGACGAATTCCTTGATTTCGCTGCTCTTCTCTTCGGCTGGTTCCGCAAGTTCGTGGCAGAGAGGGGGACGCTGGGGACCAGCCTTGAGGGCCGATGGCGTCAACTGGAGGCTCAGATAAGGAGGCTGCCTCAGGACCCTGCCCTCTGGGTGCTCCACGTCTTGCCAAACCGTAGCGTGGGCATCAGCCTCGGGCAAGGTGCAGAGCAAGGCCCAGGGCCCGGCCTCGGGGCTTCCCGGCTCCTGGGAGACGAGCCTCCGCTCCACCTGAGGGACCTGAGCCCTTACGTCAGCTTTGTCAGCCTGGAGGATGGGGAAGAAGGGGAGGAGGAGGAGCACGGAGAGGAGAGCCCTGGCACAGAGAAGGGGGAACCACAGGAGGGTGGGGAGCCAGCCCCTCCAAGCAAGGAATCCCCCCAAGAAGCAAAGGCGCCTGCCGAGTCCGAGGTGGCTCAGCAGGAGGCCGGCTGTGATGACAGCTGCAGAGAGGACCGAGGAGAGGATGAGAGGGCGCCCAAGAAAAGGAAAGGCCGGAAGAGCGGTGAGAGTCCAGCATGGCCCTGCTCTGCCCAGACGCCTTTCTGGACGTCTCCCGTCCGTCCCTCAAAGCCCAAGCAGGAGTCACAGACTGGTGGTCCTCCTGCAGGTTGTTTCCACCTGCCACAGAACGTTTTTGCCTTTTACTTTGAACCACCATCTAAGCACTGTAAGGAATGAGTCCAGAAACCTCGCGTCTCTCAAGACGAGCAGACTCTAGGGCTGGAGAGAGGGCTCGGAAGCTAAGGGCACTGACCAGAGGCTCCAGGTTCAATTCCCAGCACCCACAAGACACTAACTCCATTTCCAAGGGGATCCAGCGCCCTCCTCCTGCCTCTGCAGGCGTGCATGCGTGTGACCCATGCATACACTCGGGGGACATTCCCATACCTGTGCAGCAGAAGTGTCCGCACAAAGAGAAACCCAGATTTTGATACGGCTCCTGCATTGCTTACATCCTGCTTAGCAGCTGCCTTGCCCAGCCCCTTCTACTCACTGAGGTCACTTGTCTGCCCCCTCAAGGCGTCTGGATTCGGTGTAGGTGACTGTCTGCCTTGCCCCCTGCTCTCTCCCTCAACCTTCCCTCCTTCCGCAGAGGCCGCCCCCCTGCACCTCTCCTGCCTTTTGCTGGTGACAGATGAACACGGCACCATCTTGGGCATTGACCTGCTGGTGGACGGAGCCCGGGGGGGTGTGGCCCAGGGCCCCGGGATGGAGAGCCTGGCCCCTCGGGCCTACGCGCTCCTGTGTCATAGCATGGCCTGCCCTATGGGCTCCGGGGACCCCCGAAAGCCCCGGCAGCTCACTGTAGGAGACGTCCATCTGCACCGGTACCGCATCTGCTATCGGCGAGGGAAGGCATGGGGTCCAGGCTCCCGAGCCGTTTCAGCCTGATGCCACCTTCCACCCCACACAGAGAGCTGGAGAGCCTGGTCCCAAGGCTGGGCGTGAAGTTAGCGAAGACCCCGATGCGGACGTGGGGTCCCCGGCCGGGCTTCACTTTTGCCTCCCTTCGGGCTAGAACTTGCCATGTTTGCCACAAGCACAGCTTTGAAGTGAAGCTGACGCCCTGGTGAGCACCCACGGGGCCCGAGTCTGAAGAAGGCCTCAGCAGTTGGCCACGCCAGGCAGAAAAGCAAGCTGGGCCGGGAGGGCTCCCAGCAGACGGAGGGGGCGGTTAGTTAGAGCCCGCAGGACCTGTGAGCACTAATGCCGGGTTCCCCGGGCCCTCATGTCGCCCAGCCCCCAGTGTGGTGCTGTCCTGTACTGTGGAGAGGCCTGTCTCCAGGCTGACTGGCGCCGATGCCCGGATGACGTGAGCCACCGATTCTGGTGCCCGAGGCTTGCAGCTTTCATGGAGCGGGCGGGAGAACTGGCAAGCTTGCCTTTCACCTACACGGCAGGTACCGCAGGAGGGTCGAGGTGGCTGGGAGGGGACCCTGGGACCGGGAAGACGGTTTCCCGGCTTGAAGGATAAGTGTTTGGGTGAAGTTTCCATCCCTGGAATAGGAGTTGGGGGCTGTGTGTTTGGGATTAGGGATTCGAGGGAGAGTATCTGAAGAGAAGAGTGAATGGCCGGGCCCCTGGGAGAGATTAGGGATTTGAGAGCATCGAGTCAGTGCTTGCTGCCCACCCCTTCCACTCTCCAGTCACATATCACCTAAGCCAGGCATGGTAGCACACTCAGCATCGGGCAGGCCGAGGCAGGAAGATCCTGAGTTCCAGGCCGCCCTGTGCTACGTGAGACCTTGTCTCAAGAACAAGACAAAACAAGAGCTGGCCCTGGCGGAGGCACACCTGTGTCCCAGCACCTGAAGATGGAGACAAGGAGGACCAGGTGTTCAGACCCATTCTCTGCCAAGTAGCTCAAAGCCAGCCTGTGCAGCAATGAGACCCTGTCTCAAAACAAAGAGTCCCCTCTTCAAACCCAAGCTTCCTCATCTGCAAAAGGGGAATAATATAAACCACTTCAAGATTAATGTGAGCTCTGTGCCTGAAACATGGCAGACACTCAGAAATGAAAATCCCCTCCCTAGGTAGAACCAGGCCCAAAGCCGGGGCCCTCGGGGTTAGCAGGTGGTGGTGAAGTCCTGGCCTTAGCCACCATGCCCTCAACCCTTACCCCCTTCTCCTCCTGCAGAGGTGACCAGTGAAACCTTCAACAAGGAGGCTTTTCTGGCCTCGAGGGGCCTCACGCGTGGCTACTGGACCCAGCTCAGCATGCTGATTCCAGGGCCTGGCACCCCTAGGAGCCCCTGGAGCAGCGCACCAGCCCTCAACGGTAAGTGAGGCCTCTTGCTGAGGACAGTGTCAAGCCTGGAGGGAAGGTTACGGCTGGTCCCACGTGACTGCACCATAGGCACACCAACCCTGTCCTAACACATCAGGGCTGCTTCCTGCCTTGCAGACCGCAGCGGAGGCCCTTCTGCCTGATGCGTCCACCAACCCTGTCCCTAGAACTGCTGCAGCTTCGGGGCTTGCCCCAGGGGTTCACAGGCCCCTGCTTTTCCTCATCCCCGCAGGAGACCCTTACCAGCTTCTCCAGGGGGACGGGCCTGCCCTGATGCCTCCAGTGCCCCTGGAGCCTCCCCGGAGCCTCTTTGGTGAGCTGGAGGGGTCCTGGGACCAGGAGCTGGGACAGATAATCTGGAGGGCGTGGCACACGGACACCAGGGTCAAGGTCCCCCATGCAGCCGCTCTCCCCAGGCTCGTGGAGAGACTACTACGCCTGGCGCGGCCTCGGCCTGGACTCGCCCATGGCGGTGCTGCTCACCTACCCGCTCACTGTGTATTACGTCATCACCCACCTCGTGCCCCAGTCCTGTAAGGAAGCAGCCTGGAGGAGAGGGTGCGGGGCGGGGGGCGAGTCGGCAGGGGACCTGGAGTCCTTAACAGCTGACCTCTCCCCAGTCCCTGAACTCAACATCCAGAACAAGCAGTCATTGAAGATCCATGTGGTGGAGGCTGGGAAGGAATTTGACCTCGTCATGGTGTTCTGGGTAAGTCCTCCGCTCACCCCGAGCGTGTACCCTGAAAAGACGGATGTGGGAGCTGACTCTGTCTCTGTCCCTAAGGAGCTCTTGGTCCTTCTCCCGCACGTGGCCCTGGAGCTGCAGTTTGTGGGTGACAGTCTGCCACCTGAGAGCGACCAGCAGCATTTTACCATGCAGAGGGTAAGAGCGCAGAGGGCCTGCTCCTGAGCCCGCCTCCGGGAGCCTCCGCTTCCCCTCCGCCTTCCTTCACCGGGCCCCCCACCCCCACCCCAGGACGGCCCTGACGCCTCTGTGCGCCCCGCTTCTGGAGTCTCGCGGCTGAGCTCTGGAACGAAGGAGAAGGGAGGCCGAAGGGATCTGCAAATCCGGGTGTCCACCAGGCCCTATCACCTGCTCCAGGGACCCAAGCCGGACCTGGTTATCGGTAAGAGCCAGGGGCCCAAGGACAGGAGTTGGGGGAAAGTGAAAGAGCCCGTGGGCGCCAGCGTCCTGCTCTCTCGGCAGGATTTAACTCTGGCTTTGGTCTCAAGGACACGTGGCTGAGCTCTCTTCCCAGACTGCAGGTGGATAACCTGGCCTACCCCGCTCCTCCCTGCCCCGTGGCCCTGGAGCATCCTGGTCCCCTCTTTGGCCGGGAGGGTGTGGCCGGGGATGCGCGAGGGCGGAACCTGAGGACCCACCCAAACCCCAGTCACTCCGAGTGCCGGCCTTCTTCACCGAGAGCAGCGAGTACGGCTGCGTGATGGACGACCAGACCATGGCGGTGGCCACAGGCGGGGGTACCAGCGCGCCGCAGCCCAACCCCTTCCGCTCCCCGTTCCGCCTCCGAGCAGCCGACAACTGCATGCCGTGGTAAGGGGCGGCGGCCGCCGGTCCCGAAGGCCCTCTATCCCCGCCCCGCGCTCTGGACACCCCTCAGGACCACCTTCCAGACCCGGCTCACGTCTCTCCCCGCCCTCTCCCATCCTGGGCATCGAGCGTCCTGGGCGTCGGGCGCGGTGGCGGGTCCCACCCCACACGTGCACACAGCCACCCCGTTGCTTTTGAGGGCCCCGAGCTGGCTGGACCCGCGCCCTGGCCCTGACCGCGCCCTCACTGCTGCAGGTACTGCAACGCCTTCGTCTTCCATTTGGTTTACAAGCCTCCCCAGGGCGGCGCGCTGCGCTCGGCGCCCGGCCCCGCGCCCAGGCCCCCCACCCCGGCGGCTCCCCCGGTCCCGGCGCGCAGGCGCCGCGGGGAGAAGAAGGCCGCGCGCGGGCCGCGCAGGCGCAGATGAGCGCAGAGCGGGCACGAAAGGTTCAATAAAGTTCTGTGTTTGAAACCTCTGAGCCAGTTCTTGACCCCTTGCCTTCAGCTGATCTCTGGTCATTGTGAGGAAGAGATACGGCTTGACTCGCGGTGACTTTCTCCCTTTCCGTCGACGCCAGCAGAGAGGGGGTGCCCAGCCTTCCTGGGTAATCCCAGCATCCTCTCCCCCTGGCGTGGCACCCCAGTCTCCCGCTGGACAGCGACAGCCCAAACAGCAGAAGGCGGCCTCCCTCAGCGGGCCTGGGAGCACAGCCTGCCTCCCCCACCCCGCACCCAGACCGCAGACCTCCTGCCAGCACCCCAGGGACTGCTTTCCTACAGCCCCGAGAGCAGCTTGGAGTGAGCTTTGCTAGGTGGGAATGGGGACTGTTAGGACCGCGGGGACCAGCGGGTGGGTACAGCAGGGTCCCGCCGACCCAGCCTGGCCCACAAGCCGTCTCCAGATACTTGCACACCCAGAGCTCCTTGCACATCTGCTCAAGAACTTCCCAAGCCAGAGGTGGTGGCTGACTCCTGCAACCCCAGCACTCTGAGACAGGAGGATTCCCTGCAGTTCAAGAAGACAACCTGTGCTACAATGTGTAAAAAAAAAAAAAAAAAAAAAAAAAAAGGAAAAAGAAAGAAAGAGCCATGAGGTGGTTTTCCTAGGAAAAGAACTGAGGAGTCAGGCTTGGGGCAAACACCTTTAGCTGAGAACCATCTCGGGCAACCCCGGTAACATCCTGTTCACATTAAAATTCCTTCTGCTTTCTCAAATCTACCTTTAGGGTTGGTTTGCTCTGATCTAGAAATAACGAGAGCTGGGTATGGCAGCAGGTGCTGTGATCCCAACATCTGGAAGGCTGAGGCAGGGGGATACCCACAAACTCTAGGCCAGCCTGAACTAGAAAAGAACGGTGGGGGAGGGGCTAGAGAGTTGGCTCAGGGGTTGAGGGAATTTGCTGCTCTTGCAGAGGACCCAGGTTCCATTCCCAGCACCCACGCGGCGGCCCGGAACCCTCTGTAACTCCAAGGGGATTTGATACGCTCTTCCGACCTCCCAGGCATGGGGTGTACACGTGTATACAGGCAGAACATACGTGAAAAACAACGAATACACGTAATTTTAAGCACTGTTAGAAGGAGGGGGCTGAGACGCACAGGCCGCCGTGTCTGGTCCGGTATTCCGGAGCAGGCCTCTCTGCCTCCTGTGGACTTGCCAGTGAGAGCCTGAATCAGCCTGTCCCCGGGAATGTTCCTCATTCTGCCTGATTACTCCCCCAGGGTGGTTTTTGTCCTCCATTCCTGTATTTAACTCCTGTAAACAGGTCATTAGATCCAGATGTAGCGGCCACCCTTTGTCCCTGTGTAGCTAAAGGGTAGGCTAGGAATAACAAAGGGGAAAATAAGGGGAAAGAAAAGGTATTTTCAGGGCTTGGGGAAAGTGTCTGTCTAGCTGGCTAGTGTGAATCAGGAACCGCCTCCCTCCTAAGGAAGTGAAATAGTGATTGAGCAAGAAGATGGGAAATTCCATAATGACAGAACACACAAGGTTATTTAGAGCTGCCTGGCTCCAGGGGACAGAGGAGCTAGCAGCCACAAGCTGAGCTGGAGGAGGCTGGCCAGGATGAGAACACGCTGTCAGTCATCTGGATCTAATGACCTGTTTACAAGGTCTGCTGCAGCACGGAGCTGCCAACTATTACCCTGTTTATCTCCTTACGCCATGCACCCACGCTTTCTGCTCCCGCTTCTTCGCTGTGCTTCTGCTTTGAGCCTCTGTACCCAGAGAGAAGGAGCCTCATTTCCTGGTGGACTGAGGGAAACAGTGTCTCAGTGCTCACGGGAGTGCTCACCATGTCCTTAGTCTTTCCCTTCTGTTGACTTGTTCACTTTTCTCTCATGAACAGACAGTCCTTTTGTAATAAAAATGTTTCACAGCTAGGCCGAGGAGCACGCCTTAGTCCCAGCCCTCAGGAGGCGGAGGCAGGTGATCTCTGAGTTCAAGGCCAGCCTGGTCTATAGAGCCAGTTCAGGACAGCCGGGGCTACACAGAGAAACGCTGTCTCGGAAAGCAAGACAAAGCGTCATGAGCAAACTTCTCTTTTATGGATTCGCTTCCCCTTATGATGTAACATAAGCTGAGGAGCAGCCCGGGGACCTTGAGTTCAAAGCCGGATCTGGGACTGCTCAAGAGAGAAGGAAGGAAAAGAAAAAAGAAGACCAGGAAATGAGTAATCCATAACGTGAAATTTCGTGAACTTGAGGGCGGTGTCACAAGTGTGCGCTGGAACAGTCTTAAGCGTCGTCTTGGGTGTTAGCCGTCTAGGATGCAAACGCAGACCTTGACGCCCGCCTTGCTGTGGTCTGGGTGTGTGGCATCGGGAGTGAGCTGGTGTGAGAGGCTGACCCAGTCTTCTGATTCCCTGAAGGATTCTTGTCATTCAGCTGTGGTGGCAGTGGGAGCTTTAGTGGAGAAAGCAGGTCCGGGGCATGTCGTGGGGGGGGGGACACGTGTTGCCCAGGCCCCTCTCTGTCTCCTTCTCTCCCCTCTTCCCCGTTGCTTTGGGGTCAGCTGCTGGACTCCACAGGCCCTCATGGCCAGGATGATCCGCCTCATTTCAGGCCCAAAACTCACGTGGCGCCACAGATCTTCGAAACCTGCAAGCCTGTAAGCCCCGGACAGCAAATCCTTTCTCCCTTTCATTGTGCCGTCGATGGAAAGTTTCATGTGATTTCCAATAAGGGGCCTGGACTACAGAAGCTGAAATGCTGGCTGGCCTTTTGCAGGAAAAGTGCGCTGGCATTTTCTAGGGTCGGATTTTGAAAATGTGGGTTTACAATATTTCAGAAATCCATAGGAGGTCTCCAAACACATCTCAGCGGGCGGCTCACACTTGGGAGGCGATGTTGGCAGACCTGGAGCCAGGCTGCCTAACCCAACACAACTCTTTATCACGTGACTCTTTTCTTTAAGCATTTATCATGTTTTTATCCTTTCATTCATTTTCCCATTTACTATTTATCATATGCATGCTAAAACTTACTAGAACTAGTAAAAAATATCACCCACATAAAAGGAGACCGAATTTGAAAACTACATTTTAATACCTGTGTGTGTGGGTCTGAGTACCTCACAGGACACATGTAAAAAGCAGGAAAACTTGCACAGCTGGTTCTCTCCCCAACCGTCAGGGAGCTAACAGGCTTGGTGGCAAGCACCCGTACCTGCTGAGCCTTCTCCCTGGCCCAGAGGAGACCATCTTGTTTATAACAGTGCGCTGGCACGTTGCCTAGGCCATCCCAGGCACTCGGCAATTACTGCGGGAACTTTAGAACGACGTTCCTGTTCTGGAGGGGAGACCCTGGAGATGAAGAGCAATTGGTAGAATGTTTGCTTAGCGTGTGCAAAGATCTAGTTCCCCAGCACCAGTAAAACCATGCCCGGTGGTACATAGCTATAAACCTAGCCCTTGAGAGAAGCGCCAGGAGAGCAGGCAGGAGGACCAGAAGTTCAAGGCCACCCTCTTCTACATAGCAAGGCCAGCCAGGGATACTGGAGACTGTATAAGACCAGAAAACAAGCAGAGACCAACAAGTAGAGCCTTGGGCCGGAGAGGCGGTGGGAATGATGGAGAGTGACCAGCGCTGGAGAGGCCTGAGAATGGAGGCTGGATAGCAGGGCGCCACCTGCTGGGATCCGCACACGTGAGGGCGCGGAACACTGGTGGCTAGGAAGGGTGAAGGGGAAAGACAGCTCCTGCTGGGACCGGGGGTGCTCGTGGGACATTCTGGGGAGATTATGACTAAAGATGCCCAAGATCAACCCATGTGATGTGAACAGATGAGAGCACCCAGCCGGCCTGAGGAGTGGACCGGAAGCCGCCTCGCAGGCCAAGGATCCGGACTGGGTCCTGAAGGCAGTTCTTTTAGCTACTTTATTAGGTTCCTATATCTACACCCTTCTCCACCCCAGTCCCTTCCAACCCCCCAACAGTAGGCAGCAAAGAAAGAAGGTTGGAGAGGAAAGGAGGTGCAGGCTTTAGACTGCTTCCTGCTGGTCAGGGGCTTCAGGTTCCGTGGGGCAAGCTTGACCTTCGCCATCAAGATAGTCAGTTTCTTCTTGTCTCTGGGCACAACTACTGGCCAAACTGCCACAGCCAGCTGCAGGGACAGCAGCGCAGCGGGAGCAGCACCCTCTCTCCTGAGCACCCCTGGCCCTTGGGACGCTCGTGTGATCCCTTCCGAAAAGTCACCAGAATTCCAGGCATCACACGCTTGCAGAAACTGCGCAGCTGGCTAAACCACTGCCTGCTAGAGCACAAGGCAAATCGCAGTCAGCTGCTGTGAAGCAGCCCCACATCCCAGACCTGGGGTCAAAACAAAGCGTTCACATACCTGGGTTTTTTAAGAAACTAAAATTCTCAGTATAGGATCCCCAACAGTGGGAAAAAAAAAAAAAGGCAAAAAAGCAGAATTGACATGGAAGGCAAAATGTAAGGGCATTGGGAGGAAGAGGAGCCGGGAAGGCTGTAGGGAAGCCAAGGAAGGGAGCAGCAGGAAAACCAGAAAATCAAGAGAGGCCAGAAACAGGAAGGGCATCGGGCAGTGCTCAGGCCAGCAAGCTGAGTGGAAAGGCAGCCCTGCTCTTGGCAGCAAGCTCACATTCCACAGAGCTGCCTGGAGGAAGGGTGTGTGGGAGCCTCCTCGGACTCGGACTTTCTCTGCCTTGTTCGTCCTTCCAATGGCTCTGCCTTGTTCACCATCTGTCACGGCCTGTCTTCCTACAGAAATACAGATACAACTGCCAGGAAAACGTGACTTTTGTTTGTTTTGTTTTGTTTTTCCCTGTGTGGCCTTGGCTGTCTTGGACTCCATTTGTAGACCAAACTGGCTTCCGACTCACACAGATCCACCTGCCTCTTGACTCCCAGAGTGCTGGGATTACAAGTGTGCACCACCACCACCCGGATTTTTGGTGTTTTTGAGACAGGCTATCTCTGTTATTAGCTGAGGCTGTCCTGGAACTCCCTA